CTAGAGCTGGCAGGTGCAGGACGCTGAGGGCTCAGTGTCTCCGGGAGCACGTCAGATGTGAGAATGAAAAGAGAGTCAGAGATTGCCCTAGCCCTGCCTGGCGTGGAAAATGTGGAGCGAAATACATCAGTGACTCCTGCCAGGCCTGTGGGAGAGTCATGCCAGGCGTTTGCCATGTTTGGTAACAACCAAGGAAGAGCGGCTATGACAAAGTCAACACTTCTCCCTCGGGTCCCTGCCCATCCCTTTCTGGAGTCAGTGACTAACATTTCAGGGAGCACTGAGGTTGCCAGCTGATCTCCCTTTACATGGGGCCATCCCCTTTTTGAATGAGCTTAAAGCCAGGTACTTCATGCACTGCCATGATGTACAACCTGTTGCCATGGGACCCCTTTCCAGTCTCGGGAGAGGACAGTCCATGTGCCCGGATTCTAGAACCATGCCTACCACACCATGGGAAGACGTCTCTAGGAATCTAGCCGTGCCTTTCAGACAGGGATAATGTGGCCCACAGATACCTCCAGGCTCTTGTGAATACAATCATGAGGTCACAGTGTGCCCAAACAGACGTGTCTCAGACAAACCGGAACCTGGGAAATGGCCACTGACATGGAGTCAGGAGCAACTTGCTCTCAGGGTGCAGATTGATTCTAGAGTCTATGTGAAGAAGAGAAGCCCAGATAGAAACTGGGGAACAGGCCCAGGGGAAGGTGACCACGCGAGGAGAGCAGAGAATCCAGGACGGTGGCCAGAGGCTGGAGCAGAGCTGGGGAGCAGGCTTCAAGCTCACACTTCCAGCACCTCTGTGTGTGTGCACGTGTTATGTACATGTGTGCACATGCATATGTGCGTACTTGTGAGCACATGTGTTTGCATATTTGCATACGTGTGTGCACAGGCATGTGTGTATTGTGTGCACAAATGTCTTCCCGTGCTTACATGTATGCACATGTGCATACTTCTGTGTGCATGTAGACATGTGTGTGTATGTGTGCATGTCTGTGCACATGTGTGTGTGTTTCTGAGAGAAGATCAGGCCGGCTCAGACTGCCTGACTGAGCACTGTACAGAAAGGCAGAGAAAATAGCCTTTACCAGCATTCTTGTTTGTTCAAAATAAGGGAAGCTGTTAGATTCTGAAGGGCATGCTGCTGTAATTCTCACTACCACTGTCTAATTTATGCAAACACTTGCCTGCAGCTGCTTCAGGAAAAGGCCTTTATTATCCCAAGGCCCCTCCTCCCCCGCACCCTCTGACCTGCATGCAGAGCCCTCGGGAGCCTATGTTTCCTGCCTGTGTTTGTGGGAAGTGCCGCCGCGATGGCCTCTGCGTGGGAGCCTGGTGATGGGTTCCGCAACCTGGCCCTCCATAGCCTCTTCAATCACGTCTCCTTCAGAGAACGAATAGCCTCCCACACAAACATGAGTGATTGGGAACCTCGGGAACTGTGGATGTTTCAGCTTAAATTCTTCTCTGAAGTTTATCCAAAGTCCAGCTGACACCGAGCATGAGGATTTGAGGAGAAAAGGACTTATGTGTTTCATTTGAATCTTGCAAGCTTAGTTTCCTTCAAAATGTACAACACATAGGTTGGATTCCTCCTCCACTGCTGATCCCCGTCCCCCAAGCCACCATGGTTCAGATCCTGGAATTTAAAGGGGTAGTGCGTGCACACACACACACGGATATGCAAACACATGTGTGTGCTCACAATTACACACATACACATGCACACACATACATAACACGTGCACACACACAGAGGTGCTGGAAATGTGAGCTTGAAGCCTGCTCCCCAGCTCTGCTCCTGCCTCTGGCCACCATCCTGGATTCTCTGCTCTGCTCACCTGGTCACCACCCCCTGGGCCTGTAATTTGAAGAATTTCTCATTGGCTGTGTGACACTGGGCAACTGACTTAACCTCTCTGTGCCTCAGCTGTAAAATGGACATAGTAATAATAATGCCCTCCCTCTTGAGGCTGTGATGAGAATAAAACAAGTAGATGCATTTGAAGTACAAGTGGCACCCACCGTGTGTCGCTTGTGTACATGCATGTCATTCTCCCTGTATGACCACTGGGAACGTTCAGGCCCACCCCAATCTCCAGGAGGACAACTGGGGCCAAAGCTGAGTTGGTCACCCATGGCCAATGATGTAATCAATCACAGCTCTGTAATGAAGGCTCCATAAAAACCCAAGAAGACTGGGATAGAGGAGCCTCAGGGTAGCTGGCCCTGTGGAGGGTGGCGCCTGCGGAGCGCAGGGAAGCTTTACCCCCTCCCCCAGCCCTCACCTACACATTGCTTCATTGGCCCGTTCATCTGTGCCCTTTGCAATAAAGGGGTAAACATAAGTCAAGCATTTCCCCGAGTTCTGTGAGCCGAGCTAGCGAATTAACCAAACCCAAGGAGACGGTCTTAGGAACCCTGATGTACATAGAGCCAGCCGGTCAGAGATACAGAGGCTTGCGATTGGCACCTGAAGTGGGGGCCTTCTCGTGGGACTGAGCCCTCAACCTGTGGGTCTGGCACTCATTCCAGGTGGACAGTGTCAGGATTGGTTGAACTACAGGACCCAGGGCCCCTCCTGACACTGCCCCTTCTCAGAGGTGGGGACGCGCTTGTCTGGGTGAGTACCTGCTGGGGATCTGACACTGGAAGACCTTCCAGGCAGCAGGAGGCTCAGGGCCTCCCCCAGAAGCCCCTTCCCCTCCGACACTGGAAATACAAGGTTTCATTGCCACAAACCTGTGAGTTTGTGCACACTGTGCACTAGGACGCAACACGGGGTCAGGAGAGACTGTGGGGAAAATAAGCAAAACATGGCCAGACCCATTTTCTTACCAATTTTCAAGTGGATTTTGGGTATCAAACTATCATCCTGTTTGATTTTTCTGTGCAGCAGGATATTAACCAGCGTTAGAGGGAGGGAGATTCTGGGACAGGCTGCGGCGCGGATGAGCCTTCCGGCTGCTGAGTGACATGAGCCAGTCACTGAGAACAAATCCTGCCCAACTCCACTTAGGTGGGGTCCAAAGAGTTGACAGGTTCACGGAGACAGGAAGGAGAAGGCAGGTGCCAGGGGCTGCGGGAGGGGAGGGAGGGTTTACTGAGGGCAGAGTTTCCGTTTGGGAAGATGAAGAAGCTCTGTGGGTGGAAGGTGATGACGATGAACGCACATAATGCCTCCAAAGTGTACAATTAAAAATGGCGACAAGGGCCCCAGTGTTACGTGATGCACATTTTACCACAATGAAAATCACACCTCATTGGGCCAGCCCTCTCCACTCAGAGAGGAGGAAGCTGTTCTTCCCCAAAGCGCACATTTTCAGGACGGCCTTTTTAGACGTGCTGCGTTGCATGAGGACTGTGGAGAGTGTGAGAAGGGGAGGCCAGCCAGGCAGGGCCTGCAGAGAGCAGGGGTCAAACCACGGGCATCTTTAGGGCATTTGTCCCTCCTGGTCCTTGGGAACAGCCCCAGTGGACCCCCTGATGTGTGTCTGTGGCATGGGGGGGCCCCTGGAGCACCAGGATTGGGGTGGGCACTGGGGTGGGCAGAGCGCCGTGAGCCAGGACTCACAGTGGCTCCTCTCCTTCCAGCTAATGCACAGTGCAGTCCAGCTCAGTCTCTGTGAGCCCAGCCATGGAGGACCCCACACAGGTACAGACCCATGACTTTCACTCCGGGTCTGTCGTGAGTCGCTCGAGTTCACCAGCCAGCACCCCGTCTTTAGACAGCGGGTGTGTAAGTCAGCCAGGTTCTGTGTCTCTGAAGGCTTCCTTCCTGGATGTGTCCCAACACAGCCTCTCAAGCTGTCGCACGAGGCCTCCAGTCCTGCCTCTTGTGTCTGGGGAGCACGTCGGCTTCCAGGGCAGCAAACTCGTGGTGCTTCCTCTAAATGCTTAGACTATGGTGCAAAAGATCCCGGAAATGCCGCTGGCATTCGGTTCCCCTCGCTGTGTCCTCCTGGCCCTTTCCGTGAACCTTTTGTTCTGACAGGGAGGACAGCCGGTGGCCTGGGTCTCACGCTCCGCCTCTTGAGTGCCCCGGGGGCCTCTGCAGGCTCCTCTGCGGGCCACATGTGTGTGGTTTGAGCAGAACGGGAGACTTCACAGGCTTCTGCTGGGAGCTCACTTGTTTATTTTGGACGAATTGTTTGTCTCTGTTGCTGACAATGCAGCCTGAACTCTGTTTTGTTATTTCGCCGTCCACGAGTTCTGTCAAAGACCAGCGGCCTTCTGCCCTCATCTGCTGACCGCCCAACTTCGCTAAGCAGCATTAGATGACATTTTTCTGTCACTGAATTTTTAGGTCAAGCCCATTCTGTCACTGCAGAAGAGATAACTGGATGGCAGCGTGACAGCCTTTGGGGCAGGGCGGCCGTCTCTGGATCAGACACATTTTTCTTTTTCCCAGGCACGCGGCCTTTGCCATTTCAGAGCCAGGGCTTTTCCCAAAGACTACATTTCCATCAGCTGCACCTTGTGCAGGTCCCACCCCCCTTATGCCCCTCCTTTACTTTAACAGGTGCAGAAGGGGAGGGAATGTCTGCGCTTTTCCAGGTTGCTTCCTTTCTGTAATGTGACTCACCTGTTCTGCAATGTTTTTTGAGCATTTACAGGCTGCGCAGAATTGTGGAGGATGAAAGTTTGACAGAGACGTGGGGCTGACCTGAGGGAGTCATGGGCAGCAAGACCAGCAACGAGGCAGATACAAGAATAACTGCAGTGTGGGGGCTGAATAGTACATGCTGCAGCCTCCCGGGATGCAGCCAGTGGGGGATGAACAGACCCGTGGTCCTCCACACAGATGTCAGCACACTCCCAGGTGCATCTCCAAACACAACAGGTTGGTGTGTCTGCCCGGAGCCCACAGTGCCCTGCTCTGCCCCCGGCCCACCCCATCCAGGGCCCTCACCAACTGCCTACAGCCACTGAAGGGTAGAAGGGGCCCGAACTTGGTCGGAGAGGAGGAAGCTGCTGTTTCAAAGCACACATTTTTAGGACAGCATTTTTAGAGGTGCTGCATTGCATGAGAACTGTGGAGAGTGTGAAGAGGGGAGGCCAGCCAGGCAGGGACCACAGAGAGCAGGGGTCAATCCATGGATATCTTTAGGGTCTCTGCCCATTTCGGTCCTCTGGAATAGCCCCAGTTGCTCCCCCTGAAGCACATCTATGGCACTGGGGCCCCCCGGAGCACCAGGGTTGGGGCAGGCAGTGGGGTCCGCAGAGCGCCCTGAGCTGGAGCAGGAGGCGTCTCCTCTCCTTTCAGCCAATGCACTGGGCTGGACTCCCAGGTTTATAGAAAAGTGGGGCAGACACTGGAGAACTGCTTTGTCTTGAGATAGAGTACTCACCCCATCAGGCATAGCGTCCCTCCTTGCCCCTGGTAGTGCAAGGACCAGGTCGTACCCGTGGCAATGTGGAAGCTGAGTCCATGCAGCATCTGGTGGCGAGTGCCGTGCCCACTGGGAGGCTCACCGAAAGCCATCCAGGAGGTCTGGGCTCCTCTGAGGCTGACTCGAGGGGGCTACTCAAACAGAAAATCCCAGGCCTTGCTATTTCAATCTCAGACCAACCCACCTGTGAACACTGCCCTTTCATGTGGACATGGGGAATGAGGAGGAGACAGGGCAAGCTCAGGACCAAAGGAAGAAGAGGCTGACCTTGAAGCCTTCTCCAGGGAGGGACACAAAGTCACGGCCTCAGCTGGCAGAAGGTGCTTGACAAACCACAGCCTCCTGCCCCCAGTGCTCTGGCCCTGGGGACACTCAGACATGATAGAGTCCAGACGCATCCCTGAGAGTCACACCACACAGCTCGCGCCCCTGTTCTCCCATAAGAAGAGCCCCTCCAGGCAGAAAAAAACCTCTCATGTGTGACTCAACCACGCCATAAGAGAGGCTCAGGTGAAGAAGTTTAACTAAGACGCCAGTGGGGCGGAGTCCTGGGGGAACCCAGCAGCATCTGGCTCGGCCTTCTCCTGGCTGTCCCTGCCCCTCTGCCCCCAACTGAGACAGAGGGAGGCTGGAAGCCCCCGCCCTGGCCATTTGGTGCAATCTTATCAGGAATGCGTGTGCCCTGTTTTTCCTCAGACACTCCACAGGAATGTGTCAAAAGGCACATCGACGTGGCGTCCCCAGGGCTGGTGACACAGCCCCTCTGGAAACCCGACTCCTGTGGCAGCTGGTGATGCTGTCTGCCCTGGGCCTCCATCCTGAGCAATGTCACAGCATCAGCTCACTGTCCTTCCCTGGAGGGACCTCTCCCACACGAAACTCTGATCCAGAGAATGGGTGGTCTCAGCCTGCATCCCCCCGGGAGAATGAGGCCTCTCCTTCTCCGTCCTGGGCTCCGTGCAGCTAGAGGGGTTATCAAGCAGCAGGAGAAGCCAGGAATTATGCCAAGGACACATTCGGGTGACCGATTATCACCCGGGAGACAGGAGGCATCCACACAGAGATGAGTGGACGCAGAGTCAGGCCCCCCAGGATCCTCACGCCATCTCTTCCTCCTGTGGTCAGTGGGGACATGACCCAGGGACAGGCCCTTCCCCAGGAAGGCTAAGCACGAAGTCCCACCGTTCTTGTGATAGAGGCCAGCAGCACTGGTGTTCATGATGTCAGCCAAGGATGGAAGCTCGAAATCGCTCATTGCCCAGACTTGTGAAAACTAAATGGCTGCCCTTTTCCTTGGAACCTCTTTTCTGAAAGTGCACATGAATCTTCAGTTTTCCACAGAGACCTGGAAGGAACTGAAAACCCAGGTTTAGTATGAGGAGAGCATTAGACAGAGATCTTACTAAACATTTAAGGAGGCTAAGAGTACAGCAGGCCTTCTGTCTAAAAATCACAGGCTGCAAAAGGAATCAGTGACCCTTGGTCCCAGTGACCCAATCAACGCTGAATCTCAGAGTTGTGTTGAGAGAGTTACAGACTGATGGTTTCACCAGGACAGGCTGCATCAGAACGTAGAACACCTACGTGACCGACCCAATTCACTCCTATTCTTTTGAATTAAATAATGACAAAATCCAAGTTGCTGTTCAAATCAGTAGAAAACCCAGCTGCTAAGGTTTATGGCGATTGGGCCTGCTTGGAAATCCCAGTTCATGTCAACGTAACCCCATGGATATAGGGCAGGCTGGCCAGATGAAATAAAAGCTTTCTATTCCACTTCTATTCTGCAGTCTCATGCAGCCAACCCTCTTCCTTGTTTAGTGTGGAAATGTTAGGTGCTCAGACCTGAGGCACTATAGTCACACTACCATCTTCAGTCACACTACCATCTACAGTCACACTACCATCTACAGTCACACTACCATCTTCAGTCACATTACTATCTTCAGTCACACTACCATCTACAGTCACACTACCATCTTCAGTCACACTACCATCTTCAGTCACACCACCATCTTCAGTCACACCACCATCTATAGTCACACCACCATCTTCAGTCACACTACCATCTTCAGTCACACTACCATCTACAGTCACACTACCATCTACAGTCACACTACCATCTACAGTCACACTACCATCTACAGTCATACTACCATCTTCAGTCACATTACTATCTTCAGTCACACTACCATCTACAGTCATACTACCATCTACAGTCACACTACCACCTACAGTCATACTACCATCTTCAGTCACATTACTATCTTCAGTCACACTACCATCTACAGTCATACTATCATCTACAACTGCACTGCCATCTACAGTCACACTGCCATTTATAGTTGCATTGCATCTTCAGTCACACTGCCACACTGTCATTTACACCCACACTGCCACCTACAGTCACACTACCATCTACTCTACAGCTGCATTGCCATCTACAGTCGCACTACCATCTACAGCTGCACTGCCATCTTCAGACTGCCATCTACAGTTGCACTGCCATCTACAGCCACACTACCACCTACGGTCGCACGGCCATCTACAGCCACACTACCATCTACAGCCATGCTGCCATCTATAGCCGCACTACCACCTACAGTCGCACTGTCATTTACAGCCACATTGCCATCTACAGTGGTGTTAACATCTACGTTCATGCTGCCATCTGCAGTCATGCTACCATCTACAGCTGCACTGCCACCTACAGCTGCACTGCCATCGTTATCACATGGGGAGGGACTGCAAGGACACCCAGTGTTCTCCCACCACATTTCACATTTTTCTTCCTTGACATGCCTCGTTCTTGCATGAATAAAGTTTTCACATTGCATCTCTACTTCAAGAGAAACAAAGAAAAACAGTCCCACTAAACAGAATCACCAACTTCCCCGGCTAAGAGCTCAGAGCACTTAGGATCTAAATAGAAGACTGTTCCATGGTTGCTGTTCAACAGTGACACGTACCTGACACTACCCTACTTCGGGAGGTCAGGATCCAAGGTAAATCAGAGAGGAAGCTAATTAAGACTCGTTAATCAGTGAGTAACCAATTATTGAAAATTAACCATTACATTCATAGGAGAGTCTGGCTAGCAGTTCCCTAGGTGTGATGGCATGCTTCGATGACAGCCTTCAGTATTGAAGACCTTGATCCCTGGTGGTGGAGTCCCATTACAGTGAATGTCCCTCTAGCCCACACTACAGGGTAGGAGAACAAAATGAACAATAAAACTAGATAAATCAGAGTTGTTTCAGGCTTTTCAGGAGAAAAAAAAAATCCAAGAATCCCAGAGACAGATTCCAACTGAGTTGGAACATAGCAGGGCAGTCTCTCTTCTTATCCATCTGTCCCTCATTTACTCATGTGTGCATTCAGGAAACTCTCACGAAACACCTTGCAGGTATCGGGACTGCAGAAACGAAGGTGCATAACACAGAGGACTTGCTCTCCAGAAGGGCACAGTCTGAGGTCTATGGGGAGATGGGCAAAGAAGAAGACATTTGAAAATGAAACAAAAAAGAAGGGCTAATAGTCACTGAACACTACATTTTTCTCCCAGCTCTGTCCTAAGGCCTTCACTCAGAATATTTCATTTAGGCTGGGTGTGGTGGCTCACACCTATAAACACAGTACTTTGGGAGGCTGAGGCAGGTGGATCACCAGGTCAGGAGATCAAGACCATCCTGGCTAACACAGTGAAACTCCGGCTCTACTAAAAATACAAAAAATTAGCCAGGTGTGTTGGCACACGCCTGTAGTCCCAGCAACTCAGGAGGCTAAGGCAGGAGAATCGCTTGAACCCAGGAGGTGGAGGTTGTAGTGAGCTGAGATTGCACCACTGCACTCCAGCTTGGGTGACAGAGCGAGACTCTGTCTCAAAAAAAAAAAAGAACATTTCACTTAACCCCGATAAGGTGGGTAGTATCATTGGACCCATTGTACAGTAGGAAAAAAGGACAGAAGGTGTGGGAGCTGGACCAAGGCCTCAGATCTGGTGGTTGGCAGAGGTAAATTCAAGTCTAGGGCAGCCTGGATCCAGCAGCTATGTCCTTGCCCTGCACTATCCTGTCTATAGAAAGGGTGTTTTCCATTTATTTGCTCACTTAAGGGTGGTTTCTTGAGCTCTGGGTAGATAGGGATGCATATGTTATAATTGCCATGGTCCCTGTCCTCATTCTGCTTACAACTTTGATCCAAAAAAAGCTTCCGGAGATGAGGACAAGCTGGAAAAGGACCCAGTCGGCCTCCTTCCCTGGAATTCCTCTAAGGTATTCCTGGGTTTCTCAGCAAGTGTTTGCTTGACCGTGTCTGGATTTAGCAGATTTCGGGGTTTTGGAGAGATTTCCTGCCACTCACAGTTAGTTATGTATCTGAAGGCAACTGCAATTGTGGAAAAATTGCTTTTTGTGTGAAAGTGAAATTTCTCTACAATTTCCACTCCTTGGTTCTTGCTATCTCTGCCCACGAGGCCACCATGGAAAAGATGTGTTCCTTCTTTTGTGTGTAACTTTGGGAATATTTGGAAACATTTCTGAGGTTTCCTGTATACCCTTTCTCTAACTTCTCCAAGCTAGACATCAGCAATGCCCTCTCCCTGTCATCCAAGAAGTGGTGTCAGCATGTTTATCAGCATGGCCAGCCCCTGGGGGTGGACTTGAGGTTAGTGAAGTAAAAGGAGATCTAAGCATGGCCCGTACTGAGCTTCGGGGGGTGGGCCACACATGGCACACATTCGCTTGTGGACGTTTCCTTGGGAACCTTACGTATTGGGTCCGTGTGACATTCTCAGGGCAGCGGCTCACTACAGAGGGCATTAAAGAAAGCTGAGTGCCACTTTTGTATTCATCAGTGCTTTTTAATGATGGCAGGGCAGGCTGTGGAGTCAGACTGCCTGAATTCAAAGCATACTGTGTAATCTTCAGCAACCTGCTCACTCTCCAAGCTGAGTTTATACCTTTGGGGAAAATTAAAATAGTTATGTATTAGTCCGTTTTCATGCTGCTGGTAAAGACATACCCGAGACTGGGTAATTTATGAAGAAAAAGAGATTTAATGAACTCCCAGCTTCACATGGCTGGGGAGGCCTCACAATCATGGTGGAAGGCAAGGGAAGAACAAAGGCATGTCTTACATGGTGGCCAGCAAAAAAGAGATATCTTGTGTAGGGGAACTCCTCCTTATAAAACTATCAGATCTCGTGAGGCTTCTTAACTGTCATGAGAACAGCACAGGAAAGACCCACCTCCATGATTCAATTCCCTCCCACCAGGTCCCTCCTACAGCACAAGGGAATTATGGGAGCTACAATTCAAGATAAGATTTGGGTGGGGACACAGCCAA